TTTTGTAAAAGAAAAGCATTTGAATCTTGTCTCACTTCCAGTAGAACTTACCTGTGTCTTTACTATTTTATTTTTCCTGGAGGTATTCCAGGTGGCGTTGTTGGTATCCCATATTAATTTTAAACATCTTATATTTGGGTTTCATCAAAAAAAAGAGAAAATCCATCCACCCCTCCCCCCAGGTTGCCACACATACATGTACATTGCTTCCCGCGATCAAGACCACTCCGTATCACCCGCAGACGGACGGCAGGGTCGAGCGGTTTAACCAGAGCCTGAAGAAGATGCTGCAGAAGTTCGTGGACGACACTGGATGGGACTGGGACCAGTGGCTGCCCTTTGTGCAAGGGCTACTGGCAGCTGCCTCAGGAGCCGTCCAGTCGTCCCTACACGGCGTTCCAGACCCCTGCTGGATTGTTCCAGTTTACGGTGATGCCGTTTGGTCTCCATGGGGCCTCCGCAACCTTTCAGAGGCTAATGGACCGTGTTTTACGGGGTTGCGGTGACTGCAGTGCTGCTTACCTAGACCATGTAGTAATCTTCAGCGACACTTGGGAGCAGCACTTGCAGCATCTGGAGAGGGTCCTTGGCAAGATTGAGCAGGCGGGACTGACGCTTAATCCTGCCAAGTGTCAGTAGGCCAAGGAGGAGGCGCAATACCTTGGCTATCATTTTTGTTTTTACTTTTGGAACGAACCTGTGACGATGACCATCTCCGTGTTCCCCGACCACACCGCTAAGACGGCACGAGCCCGTGCATCTTTCAATGAGGTTCGTCGCCTGCTGCCGAAAATCCAGGGAGTCCGGTTCGGCATCATCCACCCGGCCAAGTTGCGCGTCACATATGAAGGAGTGCAACATCACTTCGTCTCGCCAGAGAAGGGTAAGGCATACATCCAGACAATAACTACCCAGCAGCAAGGCACAGCGGGATGATATCATTTTTATTTAGGTTAGTGACTGATGTCTTCATTTTGGTGAGTTCGAGTTTATTTTTACTGCGCATGATTTGTTATTCTGCCAGTGAATGTTTTTTTTATTTATTTTTTTGAAGTAATACTTTTTTGTTTATTTGTTCTTGTGCCTTATTTAATCAGGAATTACTCTGTAAGAGCGTCCCCGTTAGTCATGGTTGGTTTTGTAGTCGGGAGCGTTTCTGTTTTGTTTGCTCTATATGGGAGTTTTGCACTGCCGTCTCTATCGTTTGGGGATGGGGACATCAGAGGTGCGGGAGGGAGTGGGGTTTTGTGTTTAATGTTTTATTTTATTTTATTTTGATATTGTACTCTCGTTACTGTTTTGTGTGTGTGCGTGAGGGCGCTTTTTCCCCCCTTTTTTTCTTTCCATGGGGGTGGAGGAAAAAAAACAAAACTTTTTATTTATTTACTATGGCAAATCTTAGTGGTATTAGATTTTTTACTTGGAATGTTAAAGGCATGAATAGCCCCATTAAACAATATAAAATATTTTCAGATCTACGACGTCTGATGTCATCTGAGTATCATCCAATTGTCATCTCTGATTATGCACCACTTAGTGTTGATATCAAACTCACGGCCCAATCTCTCTGCTGCTCTCTGATGAGACATTTGTTGCCATCAAAACAAAAATTGATGAATATTTATTTTTTAATGATAGTGACACTGTAATAAGGTGGTTGCTGTGGGAATCTCTTAAAGCACATTTGCGTGGGCAAATAATTTCCTTTTCTGTTCATTCTAATAAAGTCCGTAAGGCTAGACTTCAAAATTTGACAACACAAATTTCTAACATACCCAGACAAATTGTAATTAATCCAACTCCTGATTTGCATAAAAAACGACTTAACTTGCAAACCGAATTTGACTTGCTTTCTACAGTGGATGCTGAGCGCCTCCTACTTTGCTCACGGGCAACTTATTATGAACATGGTGATAAGCCAGGTAGGCTCTTAGCAAATCAGTTGAAGCGTCAAGCCTCTTCCCGATTAATATCCCAAATTAGGGACACGGCTGGCAACTTGGTCTCCCACTCAAAGGAAGTGAACAAAGTGTTTAAACGGTATTATTCCTCTTTATATGAATCTGAATCCATTGCTGATGCATCTGTATTGGCTTCTTTTCTAAAGGATTCAATATTGCCCACTGTCGACCCTGTCATGGCTGAACAATTAGATACACCCCTTAAGTTAGATGAAATTGAACACGCAATTAAAACTATGCACAATGGTAAGGCTCCGGGTCCGGATGGTTTTTCGGTTGAGTTCTTTAAAACCTTTCCTGACAAATTAGCCCCGTTACTTCTTTCAATGTATGATTAATCTTTGGAATATGGGTCATTACCCCCACCATTGTCTCAAGCACTAATCACCGTTCTTCTAAAGAAAGACAACCCTACATCTTGCTCCTCATATAGGCCTAATTCACTTCTTAATGTGGACGTTAAAGTCCTGGCTAAAATTCTAGCAAATCGCCTTGAGAAGATTCTTCCTTCTATTATTTCAGAAGAACAGAATGGTTTCATTAAAGGTCGGCAGTTATTTTTTAATATCCGTACACTTTTGAATGTGATTCTATCCCAACACTCTACCACTAGTCCAGAAGTAGTTATCTCGCTTGAGGCTGAGAAAGCTTTTGATCGTGTGGAGTGGAGTTATCTTTTTGCTGTCTTACATAAGTTTGGTTTTCGGGACCGATTTATTTCATGGATTCGATTGTTATACAATTCACCCCAAGCCAGTGTTTACACAAATAAGGTTTCCTCTGGTTACTTTCCACCGTCACGAGGTACGAGACAGGGGTGCCCATTGTCTCCTCTACTCTTCGCAATTGTAATTGAGCCTCTATCAATAGCTTTGCGGTTTCTCCCTTATTTTCGTGGCATTTCCCGATCAGGTCTTGACTTGAAACTGTCTTTATATGCAGATGATCTGCTTCTGTATGTTTCTGATCCTTTACGTAGTATACCACCAATTGTGTCTTTGTTAAAGTAGTTTGGCTCCTTTTCGGGCTACTAAATAAACCTTCTTAAGAGCGAATGCTTTCCCATAAATTCGTTAGGTCTTACACTTAAACAGTCTGATATTCCTTTCAGGCTTAGCTCGTCACGTTTTAAGTATTTGGGAATTAATGTAACTCGTACTCTGTCCTCTTTGTATTCACCTAATTTCACCCCTTTGATCTCTCAGATTAAATCAGATTTTCAGAGATGGAATTGTCTGCCTTTGTTACTTATCGGTCGAATTAATACAATCAAGATGAATATTTTACCTCGATTACTCTTTCTTTTCCAGTGTACTCCTGTATTTTTGCCTAAAGCTTTTTTTTTAAAGTTGGATCAGATCGTCACATCGATCTTGTGGGGAGGGAAACACCCTAGGGTGAGGAAATCACTGTTACAGAGACTAACATTTGATGGTGGTCTTGCTTTGCCTAATTTTTGGTTTTATTATTGGTCCGCTCATATTCACAAATTGACCTACTGGCTTCAATCACAAGAACTTTTGTGGTGCAGGTTAGAACACCTGTCCTGCATCTCCTCTTCTTTGGATGCTTTACTGTCCTCTCCTCTTCCATTCAACTTCTCTCGATTCACAAATAACCCTGTGGTGCAATTGAGTCTTAAGATTTGGTCACAGTACTGGAGCCATTTTAAGTTTGTATCCGCATCAGTAACTATGCCCATCACAAAGAATAATTTATTCCCTCTGGTCTTACTGATGGTACTTATGTGCAGTGGAAACACCATGGTAATAACACCTTTAAAGACCTGTATAAGGATGGCGCTTTCTCCAGTTTTTCGGACCTGTCTTCAGAAACAAATCTTCCAGTGACACATTTGTTTAGCTATTTTCAAGTACTTCTGCTCTCTTTCCTTCTTATCCTTTTTCTTCCAAACATCCAACCATCGGAGGAACTGCTGTCCCTTAAACCCAATAAAAAGTCAGTTATATCTTATATATAAGCAACTTATAGATTTGGATATCCAGTCAGTGGTTAAAATTAAAAGGGCATGGGAGCTGGAATTAGGCCTAACGTTATCAGATCAGCAGTGGAAGAAAGCAATATCTAACGTTCGGTACAGTACGGCTTGTGCAAGGTTACAACTCATTCAGTTTAAGGTATCATACAGAGTTCACTATTCCAGGTCTCGTCTGTCTGAGATTTACCCACAAGTGGTGGATCAGTGTGACAGATGTCATGCCGCTCTGTGCAACCTGAGTCACGTGTTCTTTTTGTGTCCGAGACTCCATGGCTTTTGGAACCAGTATTCAGCCATTCTCTCCAAAGGTTTAGGGACTCAGGTCTGCATGGACCCTCTCTTAGCTATCTTTGGGCTTCCAGTTAGTACTGTTTTAACTGACCCTGCTCACTCTAAAGTATTGGCCTTTGCATCGCTTTTAGCCAGGCGTTGTATTTTACTCCTTTGGAAATCATCTGAGACACCTTCAATTTCTCTGTGGTTTCGCGAAGTAATGTCATTTTTTAGATTGGAAAAGATTGGTCTTATAGAAAAGGGAAACTATAGTCAATTTGATCGGATATGGGGCTCTTTCGTGAATTATTGCAAATCATTGAACATCTTACCATCTAATTAATGTGATTGGACAACCCCCCACCCCGCCCCGTTTATTTATTTATTTTATTTTTATTTTATTTATTTTTTTTCTGTGTGTGTTTGTGTGCGTGTGTGTGTATGAGTTATTTCTTTGACCACTACAAATGAGAGATATTGGGTACTGTATGTCAAAAAAAAAAAAAAAAAAAAAAGAAAAAGATTACTATTTGTAAATTACTAATATGTTTTTCTTCCACAATAAATCAATTAAATAAATAAATAAAAATATTCCTTGTTTACCACAAAATTAATGGTTTTGATGCCTTTAGTGAGAATATCAAACAATCATGAAAAATCAATCTGTTAACTGAGATGGTGTGTATGTGTTTTTATACGTTCATATACTGACATTAATACCTTTCAGTAAATCATAAAAGATTTGTTGGTAAATGTTCTATTAGATCAGGTCAAATACTAAAATGCATGTTTGCACCTGAAAAGGTATGCGATCTGGCCAGATGTGGGATTTGCACACATTTCGACACAGTTTGAAATAAACACATCAAGGTTGTTAAATGTGACATAGAAGTCCACTTTTATTTTAAGGTGGCTTTTCCTTTGCCAAATTTAACATATGAAAACAGGCATCAAATATAGACTAATTATTTGATTGTTCAATTTGATAATATTATTTTCTTTTTCTTCTCAAACGCATTTCGGAGACTGGTTCACATTTTTATTTCACAGAGGGAAACAATGGAACACTTAATTGCCACTTACTTGGGGACAGCAGATAAAAACAGCAGTCAAAGAGACCAGAAAACATCTTAAGGATTGGAACAATTTATCATGCGCTTTTATATATAGCTTAGACACCCATTTGGTAATACCACAGAAATAATCACAAGGCTAGATTTACTTTACAGCGTTGCACCAGTTTTTTAAGTATTTTTTATTTGCTGGTCTAGATAAGGAGAGAGCATAATATTCACAACTACTTATTATTTGGTTCATGAAAAGAAATAGCAGGGATTTTTTTTCTTTTGAGTGTAAAGCAGCAACCAGGAGCCCCCAAAATGAATCCATGTAAAAAATGGGACGTTTTAACATTTTTGACTGATGGTGTGTGTGTACAGTACTGTCTGGTAAAACTTACACTCTACATAAAAAATAATTTGTTCTCCACACTTTCTTATGCTAAAACAAAATGTCCAATTATATAGTTTTTTAATTTTTTATCTTAAGATTAATTCTTGTAATTTTAACAGAATTCCCAAAATGCTCTTCACACTGTCCAAATACTCTTACTTTGGTATCTCCTCTTTTTTATAAATGAATCCCTCCTAATATTAATATGCACATTCTCATAATATGTTTCAAACTGCAGTGAACAACATGACACTAAACAAAAACATTGCTGTAACAAATCTAAAAGGTGCTAGCAATAAACACTCATCAAAAAGTGGATCATAGCTTATCCTAACCTAGCATCAAAACAAGTATATTTTCAAAATGAATAAAAGGATGACAGACAAGTCTAAAAATAAAACTGGTATAAGCTAAGTGAAGTTTGGTAGCACACAGTTTTTCAGATGACATGGCAGCAGCTGGCTGCAGCTGAGGTGCACAAAAGGCCATCTCTGGAACCTCCAGTCCTTTGGATATTAACTGAGATGGTCTTCTCATACAGAGGTAGTTGCAGCATGTTGTTTTTCATAGCACTCGGGTTGCTGTGAGCATTCCTGCTGTCAGATCCGACCTGCAGGCCCAGGGGGCTGTGCAGAACAGTTTTGCAGTGATGGTACTTTGTGGCGTGGGTGAGAGAAAGGCTAGTGATGGTAGTGGGGAGAGTGACCGTGTCCAGGTTCCCAGGGGAGTTAATAGACATTTTCCAAGGGGATTTCTCCTGAATGTTTACACGGCACGGTTCTAGGAAGAACCTTGTCCCTTCGCTACCTCGCTGACCTCCTGGCCCACCGCAGTGGTGCTGCAGATGGGAGCAGAAGCACAAGCTCATCAGCCTCAGACTCTCAACTATCTCACTGTCATGGTTTGCCATGCGGGAGGAGTTGGACAAAGACCTCAGGGAGTGCTTAGTACTGCTACCGTTACAACTGGATGTGCCGTTGTGTCCTTTATTAACCCCTCTTTTTCTTTCAAACCCACCGCCACCCCCACCACCATCTCCAGCTCCATTACTACCTGCGCCAGAAGGACTGCCTTTGTCTGTGCCAGACGAGTTGTCTCCTTCTGGGGGAGGTTTCCCTTGCCCCGAGCTGTTGCCTCCCCCGTTCCCGCCATCGCTGCCCGGCGGCCCCTCGCTGCTGTCCCTCCTTTTCCACCCCTGGCCAAAGCCCGAATCTTTGTCCAGACGCCTTCGGTGGCTCTCGGAGTCGTCGTCACTCGTCTCAGAGCTTGAACATGATGATCCTCTACCCTGGCTCTTGCGTCGGTTATAGCGCTTTTGGGTGGTTCGGGGGGATGAAGAGGAGGTGGCCCCGGGGTTCACGCTACTGGCATTCCCGGCTACACTCATCTTGAGTCGGCTGAGTTTGGGTGGAAGAGCTTCATTCAGGTCAAAGTCGTCGTCCGATTCCCCCTCCTCAAAGATCTGGTTGAGCACAGGGGCGCTCTTCCTCGAGGTAAGTCGGTTGGTGATGGAGGGAGGCTTACGTCTAAGTATTACTTGGGGTGGTAGAGGAGATGGATCCTGCTCTTCTTCCTCTTCTTCATCCTCATCCAATCTGACAATGGAACAAATGAGTGTGATGCACGGAACCTTTTTTTTTGCAGAATAAGAACAGTATCATAAAGCGACACCAGACAACTGTGACTCCAGAGAGGCTGCATCCTATTTTGTTTATCGACGATGCAACTTATTTGCTCACTTACTTTCCTCAATTTTACAGTATAATTTGACATTTTTGTCTTAGAGAAAAGTGAAAAATATAACAACTTAAAGAAGTTAAATATGTATTTTCCCAGGATCTCTAATTCAGTCTAAGTGGTTTAGAAAGAAAAACATTTTAAGAGAGAAAGGTATCTTGTCTGTTCATAGGAAAAACTACAATTACAGTCTTAAATGTAACCACAGTTAGCAGAGTAGTACAATGGTGATATATTGAATCAGACCTGAATAGGCTTATTTTCTGCTTGTCTGCTGAGGTGGAAGGAGTGGGAGCACTGATGGTCTCAGAAACGGAGGCAGGGGCAGGCCCCAAGATGGCAGCACAGTCCCCCTGCATTGAGAAAAGAAATTGCTGCACTTTGAGACTTTACAATTTAATAAAGAGTGACCAAACAGTCTGTCTTACACTCTAGAGTAAAGTGTAAAGCTGCTGGTCAGGTTTTTAATTTCACTTTCTCTACATAATATCAAACATTAGTGAAATCTGTTGAATACAATCAAAATAAGCATACCTGTGATGGGGGCTCCACTGGGTCATTCACTAAGAATTCTTCCCTTTGACTCAGGTCCAGTCGGCCTTTGGCGCGATGTCCGTTAAGGAGGTTCTCTGAACTACGAGCAGGAGACTGGGGGCCTCCAGTTTGAGAGATGGACGACGCTGACAAACCATCCTCTATGTCCTGGTGAATTTCTGCCCTAGTTGGCCAAGACTGTCTGTAGACATAATGTAAAAATATATAGAATGATGCATTTGTTAACTGCACAGTTGTGCACAGTACCACAGATACCTGATTATTTTTAGCTGTAAGATAATGTTTTGTGTGTCAAACACAACATTGTAGATTCATTTGTAGCATGCATTCAATGGTGACAGTTTCGAAAATTCATTAATTCAGGTTTTGACTTGTCGGACATTTTTCATTGACGTAAAGTGATTTTCCATTCATAAAGTAGTTTTTCTGTTTAAGCTGTATCTTTCTTTGTATGAATTTATAATTGCATGGAGCTCAATTAAGGAATATTTTCTCTCGTCTTAATTCAACAAATAGTAATTGTTTGTTTTGGTTTTCAAACAATACTGGAATTACTTTGGGCAACACAGTATTTCATGTTTAGCACGCTTGAGTGGGGTACCATCTCTCATCCTAAATACCTAGTCCTGTCATAAATATTTTTGGTTGTATCAATATTGCAAAAGCAGTCTGTTGTTCTTTACCACTGTCCTTTGTAAAATAACCATTCCTACCACTATTGTTGGTCATCTTTTGCCTGAAATGGCGTACCATCTTTAGACTAGACTCCCATGTGCCTTCCATCACAAAAACTAGAAATGGTGCCTCACTGAGTTAAAAAGACTGGAGTAGTAAACTGATCATCTCTGTTTGTCAATTGATTGCAACCAGAAGGTACCTAAGTAAAACAGTAAAACGATGTTGGCTTCAAACTACTTTGGGGGGGGTCAGCTTGATATTGTTAAGAATCATAAATATGTTAAACTAAGTGACAAGAAATATGTATACTGGAAAAAAATCAAATATAACAACATGGCTGAGATACTGATCGGCTAAAACAAAAACTTGCTTTGCCGAGTAAGTGTTTAATACTGTCGGCACATACACTTCTCATTTTAAGATGTGGATTTCTTTTAAAAAAGAGTTTGGGGTTATTATGGTTTCCTCTCATCCAAATTCTACAATATTCTGTAAATATACAGACATTGAGCTTTATTGGGCTCTGAATCCTACAGTTCTGTAGATACAAGATGAATAAAAAAAATCAATGGGTACACAGAGGGAATATTCCCTCTACAATTGCTTTAAAAATAAAAAAGAATTATTGGGTTGAGACTTTGAGTCATTGATATTGATAAATTATATGGTTGAAAAAAAAAAAAACTTAAAAAAACTAAAGCATTTACCGTAATCCCATTTTTATCAGTTCCCTAGTTTCTGTCACACCTGACAAACATATTTTAGTCCACTGGGTGGCGGTCATGCACTTAAAGTTAGTTTGCCAGCCATGAAGAAAATGCACATTATACATTATTTATATACACATTATACATCATCACAACAAGTCTGGTGAACAGCAATGGATGGCGAGATCTAAGGCATCAGATTTTTGTCAAATGATTGGAGTAAACTATTATTTATTACCATTGTTGCACTCCAGAGTAAAAGACAAATAAAGATATGCAAAAGAGGAGCATCTCAGCACAACTGTACACGGGCCCATTCCATGCACCCTCTCTACTAACTACTACCTTGAATAAAAACGTTGCTGCTTAAGTCAAACTGACTTAGCAGTTTGAGGTAGAGACAAAGGCCATACCATTGAGTGGTCCATTTTCAACATGATTTTACATTTTTAAAATGTATTATTAATCGATTCCATAGAAAAGAACCATAGATCTTCCATTGATAAGAATATGTGTACGCATAGCCTTCAAATGTCAATTTAATAAAGGCCTCAAATTCACACCACAGAAAAGAAAAGGTACTAGAGGAAGTTCTTAGCCCCTTCTTCATATCCACATAAACAAGATCATAATAAAATTGGCTGATGACACCACTATAGAACAACTGATTAAAGACTAATACAAATCAGCCTACCAGGAGGAATTCCAGCATGTGTGACAATGACGTGAGAACAACAATCTGTACACAGCCAAGAACAAGGAGGTAACTGTGGAATCAAGCAGTCCGAACAATCCATTACAGTTAATAGTGAGGAAAAGAGAGAGGAGAGTTTTAAGTTCCTATGAGTAAATATCTTGGCTAACTTCATCTGGTCCACAAACATTTCTTAAGGGGTGGGGACTACACAAACAAAGAATGAATTAATGCTGAACTGATTATTTTTTCCTCATTCTTTCTCATCTACCTGCTCTCCGTTACCAGATATTGCAAGTAATTGGACATTAGAAGCAGACTGATTTTGTTCTAAACCAATTCAATTTTGTTCCAAACAAATCAAGGACATTGTTGTTTCAGTTTAAAACTGGCAACAATAGGGTAATAACTAGCTCTAAAAAACAATTTAATGAACTTGGGAAAAGGCATATAAAGTACTAGCGTAGTAACTTATATCAGAGGAAACTAAAAAAAACAATTAATGCTGTAGAAAAACCAACAAAAGGCATAACGTAAGATCCCAGAGAAATTACTGAAGCCTTTAAAAAGTACTATTCAGATTTTTATACATCACAAGCTATGGGGGATTTATATGAGTTTGAGTCCTTTTTATCCTCAATTGAATTGCAGAGGAGAACAGGAAAACCTTGGACAAACTCTTTGTTGGGGCTGAATTATTGGATATTATCAAATTAAGATATCCTATCAAACATCCATGAGGTTAACAATCCACTGAAGCCTGAAATCTGTTTATTATAACTTCAAGAATTCCAATCGAGAGACAAATCATGCTAAAAAAACTCTCAGAGGTCCTTTTGGCAAGCCTTCCAATTAAAATATGGCTTTTTGAAATCAATTACTGTGTGACCCTAGAGAAAATAAGCTTTTGGTTACAGAACAGAAGTGAGACATTTGTCAAATATATGGCAACCATTTCTAAGGTATGTGCAGCAAAACCTACCGGCACACTAGACTGACTAACCTTCACCTATTTCCAGCTTGGCTCGACAGGACACTTGAACAATGGCGATATCATCTGTCTCACATTGTATTTCTGATTCCAATTTCATTTGATTTAATTCTTAACCTGCCCTCCCTAACCCTTTCCTTGTTTTTTTTCTTTTAGCGTCATGTCACTGTAATTGTATTTCATTTCAGGTGTGTCTTAATATTCATCAAGTCATACTGTCCTTGTTCCTCAGTTGATTTAGTCTAGTCAGTTAATAATTTTAACAATGTTCTTGAAAAAATACAAAATTAACCATGATATTAAAACCATGTAAAAAAGAGGCAACAATAATGGGTCTTACCGAAAATGTGTCTTGACATTGCTGGGGCTGGAGGAGCGGGTTTGTACCTCCATCTGCTTCTCCCTCAGGATCCTCTCTGCTAATAAGTAGTATGTGGCTGTGATGTGGTTGTATTTATTGGTTTCTAAAGCACTGAAAAAAACAGGTAAAAATGAGAAAATTTGAATAAAATAAGACTAATTAAAGAAAGAACATTGTAAAGAATTGAAGATGTTCTACAGAGTGGAACTACTGAGATAAAAAGAACATGAGGTTTCTCTTTGCAACATGGAATGTTTTGATGTTAAAGGTGGTGACGACCTATGAAAACTTACATTAAAAAAGTACTCCAATTTACAGGTAAGCATTCATATTGTCAAAGTGAAACTATTAAATTTCCTGTACAAATTTGTCACGACATGTTTTTTAAAAAATGTAAATTATTTTACATTTGAGAAATGAGGGGGGGGAAACAAAAAGGCTTATCCTTGGTGAAATCCCCTCGACCAAACAACTTTGTAATGTAAACAGCATATTTTCACTAAGTATCTTATGACTGATTTGATCTCACTCAATTAAATGCAATAGCGTTTTATATCTTTTGAGAGGAACTATTTGTCCATTTAGTGCTCAGCACCTTTTTATGAAGTTTTACATAAATAATCAAGCTCAGCGTTTTGCTTCTTTTTCATTATAACATGTTTTATGTCATATAAGAATACAAAGTAAAACTTACTCCACTATATTCTCTCTGTCAGCTATGTCACCCAGCACCATGCGCTGGATGATGCTGTTATGCTCGTCTTCTGACAGATTCCTGTGAGAGACCAAAGGAGTGTTGTACTTGGTAGCTGGCGATGGATCAACCCCTTGTAGCCATTTGTGTTTTTCAATCTCTTCTAGGGAGGCTCGGCACTTGGGGTCCCTCTGGAGCATGCGGTCTATCAGACTGAAGAAAAGGTTGCACAAAAAAGACACACATATTAAATTAAATATTACAATGTTTTTTCCCACTACAGGTTGAACTTGTCAAAGGGAGTGGTTACATTTAACCATATGTTTCAGGTAGGTAATAGGTTGTTCTGATACTTAGTTTATATGGAACCTTGACTATCAACACTTAACAGGTTCATTAGAGTAACAATTACTTCGATTGTAGATTATCAAGAGCAAGTAGTATTTATTCTCATACTAATGGGAATAAAATCATTGACCAACATTTTTGATGATTGCATTACATCCATAATAGTTGTGACTTTTGGTGCATCAGTATCTCTAAAACAGTAACATATTTGGAAGTATTTCATATATATATAGCTGATACATAAGTTTAAGAGATTCCCTTCCTTCAGTCATCGTAGGCAGCTAACTGATTTCTCGCATCACTTGTAGGGTGAGTGTCACTCAACGCAATAGTTTACAGATTACTGCATGTTCTTGTTGATGAGCCATAAAAAACATTACATACCTTAGGGACATCATGAAGCAAACCTTGAGTGGTTATAAAGGCATACCCTTTAAAGATGCACTGCATGTTGAGGTCCATGCCTTATCATGGTTTGATATAAAATTCATACTTATTGCTCTGTACACCAGTGGCAGCCATTAATAATTTCTTTATCCTCTAGAGAAAAATTAATAAAAATCTAAAGAAGATTAGACATGGGACATAAAAAAAAAAACCTATGGAGCCTTGTTTTAAAGAAGTAACCAAAAGATGTCATAAAATATAAGGCTGTAACTAAAAATAAACAAAATAGGAAGGAATAATGAAAAAAGATTAACAATGTTTGGTCACTCACTTCTTGCAATCGCTGGAGACACGGGCCGGCACAGTGTATTTACAGTCCATAATCATAGTGAGGGTTTCACTGTCATTAGCTTCCTGGAATGGTGGCTGCCCAGACACCAACATGAACAGTATCACACCGAGACTCCAGATGTCTGAGGTAGGAAAACACTATTAAAATATGACATCCTGTAAATCCTCATAAATTCCATGTAAATAAAAACATACATTTTATAACTCTAACATCATTTATAAGAGTACATACCTACTGCTGGGGCATCATACTCATCACCCAACAGTATTTCGGGTGCAGAATATGCCAGAGATCCACAACTGGTAGTCAGCTTTTTCCCTGGCTGGAATTTATTACTAAATCCAAAGTCAGTGAGCTTAACTAGTCCTTGTTTTTCAAAGAACACCACATTCTCTGGCTTGAGATCCCTGTGAACTACATGCAGGCGATGGCAGTAGGATATGGCATGAACAATCTGCGCGAAGTATTTCTTTGCCAAGTCTTCATTCAAACCTTCATCGTGTTTCATGATGTAATCAAACATATCCCCTCCATCACCAAGCTCCAAGATGAGGTAAAGTTTTGTCTGAGTGTCTATCACTTCGTACAAGCGTACAATATTAGGATGCTGCACCAACTTCATGCAGCGGACTTCCTGGAAAAGGTGGCCTGTCGCAGCTGTGTCCAGTTTTGTTTTGTCAATCACCTTCACAGCTACTTTCTCCCCAGTGAAAACATGGCGTGCCAGCTTGACCACAGCAAAGTGGCCACGGCCCAGCGTCTTATCGAGGTCATACAACCCAGCAATCTTGCCATCATAACCCCGCTTAAAGCCTGCCATAGTTTGAAAAGGCGATGGGGTGAGATAAGCCCCTGCTTGTGACAGGGGCAAGTTGGTGGAGTCTCCTTGGTCCACTATACTTCAATTCATTGAGGGATGAAAAAGAAAAACCATGGCTCCAATCTCCTAAAATTGTAGGACACATAATATTAGTTAAATCTCAATTAATTTTGCATTGGTGGTAACAGGAAAAGCTGATCGTGCGATTCTACAACATTTGAGCGAAAAAGACACTTACTTACTTATCTGACATAAATCCAGACCAATGTATACAATTACACACAGACAGACTCACTCACTCACTCACAAATACATACATACCTCCTGCCTTAAAGTAAATAAGTACTTATGTACGTACTATAATACGTTTGAGTGTACAGTACAAACGTTGAAGCTATGTCGTCTTTGTGTCTTTATATGTCGTCTTGAACTGTTATGAGTTTTTCCTCAAGTTTTTAAAAATGTAATTCGAAAGAAATATTAATTGCACGGCTTAGATGTATAATGGGCTCAGAACAAACCTGTAAGAATCAAGTGGCATTATCATAACATAAAGATAGGCTAGCTCGATTGATTTCATGATGTTAGCTTACTGTCGCTAGCGGTTATCGTTACTTCCTGGAACATCAACCAGAAACAATTGAAGTAATGTCCACACGGCTACAATATTTTTACGTTCTAAGACAGAAATGGTCACGTAGGTTTTACTATACAGCTTGAAATATCAGACAGCAACGCCTTGTTAGCATTTAGCATTTAGCATGCTAAAGTTACAACGAGTCACGGCAAATCACCTCTCCAGTGTATCTTCAGTAAACAAAAACCTACAGGCTAGGTTTCGTCAAGGTTACTCGAGTTGTTCGGAGTAGTCTCCCGAAGCTTGTCGAGAACTAGCAGCGATGACGGCTCACAAAAAAATGCTCAAACCCAGGGTTCCGTAAAACTGGTAAAATCATCGTTGCTTGCGGTTCGCCCATTCAGAAAGGGTGATTGTATCTTCCCGTTCGGGGCGGTGGGGCTGCGATGCAACATTCAAGTGCTAAAGAAAAAATCATTGATATGTTCATCTTTTATTATTTCTCTTGGATCATAAAAGGACACCAAGGGGGTACGAAATCTGAGTCACTTTTTAAGATATATTGACTTATTTGCTCCTTTCATAAACTATTAAAGAGCATTGCACTGCGGGGAGGCATCTTACATTTTCCATGTAGAGTGTGTTGAAAATAATACATATTCTTAAGAAAATGTCGGGAATCCAACTGTCACCAACGTCAAACAAATCTCTATGGATCGAAAAGGTTGCAGCTTCTTTGTGCAATCATACATTTAAACATGTACTGTTACATTTTTTATTTACTTAAGAGTATAATAGAATAATTAGGGTAGTATAGAATCATTTTATTTACAAAACTGTTTGTGAAATACAAAGCTTGTGATACAAGTTGTTCACTAGACATTAACCTTTATAGTTACAGTTTTTGATACCTGCATTTAATAGATATTTTATAAAGAGATCAAAGGAAAAGTGGACCAGTTAGGCTGATGAAATTCCCAGATGACCTTTTATAATGAGGGAGGCATTCGTCCCACTGCAACTTTCTCCAAAAGCTGCACATTCATTAGATAGACCATACATTATAAAAACTTGTTTAATGCTAAGTTAGGCATCCTTCTACTCTCCTTGACGCCAGTGAGAGCTGATCCACTGGTGAAGAGAAAAAGGTCTACGTAACCTTATATGAATTGCATTGGTTTATTCTCAATAAGGGACATTAACTTTAATAATTGACTATGTGTATTTGATTTGAAATTCCTCATTAACAGATAAAAGAACACACAGTTAGATGTGGGAGGTATCTTAAATTTTCCCTGTTGTGTGTTGAAGATAATATATAGTTTCTTACAAGAAAGTCAGGGATGCAACTGTAACTCTGTAAATCTCAGTTACCACACTAATCCCTTTCATAAACGATTCTACTGAAATCTGTATCTCAAAATATAGCTAATTTCATTATATAGCAGAACTTAGTATCGATGAGTAATAAATTGCAGCTACAATTGAAAACCATGACACACTTTTTGTTTTAGAAATTTAGAAATTTTGTATATTAAATCCTATCAATGATCATGATCAATTTCATTAAGGACAGCACACCCATACTGGACTGCATGCGTACATCCATGTTACCGGTGTGCCAGAAATTAGATCAAAGAATGCAATTCCAAGAGTGCAATTACATGTACTATTATTATTAGAATAGAATAGAATAGAATAGAATAGAATAGAATAGAATAGAATAGAATAGAATAGAATAGAAAAGAAAAGCTTTATTGATTCAAATTGTCACAGCAGCAACAGATACAACAAGACAGATTAAAAAGGTAACACTGTCACCTTTCCTGTGCAATGAAAGCCAAAGAGGCTAACAATAATAACTAAAAACAGTGATAATAGAGCCTGTGATATTAGTGCAACATCTGTGCTAGGACCTGTGTGTGTGCCTGATTTCTCCATTTATGCCCTGTTAACAGCCTGATGGCTGTGGGAATGATGGAGTGCCTAAACCTCTTCTTTCTTCACCTGGGAAGATTCAGTCTCTGGCATAAAGTGCTCCCCCTCAGCCAAATCTCCTCATAGAGGGGGTGGGAGGGGTTTTGTAAGATGCAGTTAATCTTGTCCCTTATCCTCCTCTCTGCCTCCAAACTGACCAGTTTGTGACCCGCATCACTACTGGCCTTTTCCACTAGCCTGTTCATCATTATCATATTCCTCATATTCCTCTCTCCCTCCTTGATGCTTTCACCCCAGCACACCACAGTAAAAACTACATGCTGGGCCATGGTACCATGACTTGGTAAAAAGGTGGCAAACAATTTGCTGCATACATTTAAGGACCTGAACCTCTGTAGGGATACATAGGCCTCTGCCCCTTCTTGTCTACAACATCCATGTTGTCCTTCCAGTCCAACTTATTAATGTGGACCCCCAGGAACTTACAGGAGTCCATTATCTCATACTTCTTCCCTATAATTGGTAATTGGGATTGAGGGCCTACTGCTCCTGCAGAAGTTCTTCACCAGCTCTTTGGTTTTAGTGATATTGAGCTTGGGATGGTTCTCCTCCGACCAACGGACAAAGCTCTCCTCCACACCTCTGTAGTCCTCCTCATCCCCCTTGCTGATACAGCTAACAATAAAGGAGTCGTCATACATTTTCTGGAGGTCTTTCACAGCTGGGGGACCTTCCTCAGTTCCAGAGAGAGGAGGATCTTGAAGTGGAACTCCTCAGCCAGCTGTCTGGGGTGGATGTGGTCTGGGCCCATTTCCTTCTTGGATAGCTCACATCTCACCTGGCTCTATGTAAAAAGGGGTGTGCGGGAGTGGGTGTGTGGGGGTGGGGTCATCAAGATGTTTGTGTTGGAGGGGATTATGTCAGCAACTCCCCAGTCTCCTGTAGCAGTTACATTGGGGCCTGGTAAAGGAACAGGAAGGGGATGGGAGGGAGCATTAGCTGCCGAGGTTGATTTGTAAAAGGGGGGTTGTGGTTTGGACTGTTCGGGGAGTCCTGTTTCACCAAGCCCCTTGTGGTGTGGGCTGAGTCAAAACGGTTTAATTGCTGGCTGAGCTCATTGGCAAAAATCGTGGCTCATCTCTCCAGCTGGACCGGATGAATTTAGCCCTGTTATCTCCTTCATCCCCCCCCCCCCCCCTCTTTGGTAAACCGCTAAACTCTAACATTAGGTACATCATACATCCATATTTTTTTTCTGAGCTGACGCTCTTTTTTCAGTGTGTCTTTATATACAGTGGGGGAAATAAGTATTTGACCCCTTGCTGATTTTGCAGGTTTGCCCACTTACAAAGAATGCAACGATCTATAACTTTAATCATATGTACATTCTAACAGTGAAAGACAGAATCCCAAAGAAAATTCCAGAAAATCACATCATATGAATTTATAAAAATTGATAACAGTCTGATGAGGAAAAATAAGCATTCTTTGTAAGTGGGCAAACCTGCAAAAGCAGCAAGGGGTCAAATACTTATTTCCCCCACTGCATATATAAAAGGAGAAAATGTAAAAATAAGTGATAATTTTCATGAAAAAAAAGACAAGCAGAAATAAATCTATGAACCATGAACCAAATTTCCCCCATTTCTTCTGCAAATTCCACAAAGAGATCAATCTATGAAACATCAAAATGTGTCCAAGATATTTTGGAGAAAATGCCGTCACTGATAAATCTGTTTGATATCTGTCGTTCCAGTGGAGAATTTATCCTTTATTTGGGTTCTGGCTCCTTCTGAGAAATGCAGCTGGCCATTTAGCTGCGGCATGCTCTGAGACTGTGTTTGTTGTGATACTAATAAAACCAAAATCAAATTACTTAAAAAAATATTTTTTTAACAGTTGAAAATTATTTCTATTTTACCCTTTAATTCACATGTATCTACTTGTAACCAAATTTATCATGTAATCTAAAACCAATTAGCAAAACGATTCAAATTGATGAATCTTCCAATCTACTCTGGAGTGACATGGTTAAGGATGAGATGCCAGATTATTTCAGTACTTTAGAAAATGATCCATTTGACCGCTTTGATGAACCTTTCAACTGGCGGAAATCTGAAACACCGTGCGGTGAACATGACCTGTGGGAAAACCAATCTCAGGTTTCTGCTTATTCTGACCGTTCTGGTGAACTTTTCGACAGGAAAGAATTTGATCCACTCAGCTCTTCTTTTTTTTTTACCCCTTGTCATGGCATCATGGCAACAGAATTGTGATCTGAGTGCCGTGCTCTGCCCGACACTTTTGCTTTGCCAAGGGAGGCTTGTCAGGGTGAGAAGCCTCCCTTGATCATCCAATACTGCTTTATTATTTATTTAAGATTTATTTTTGTTAGAGACGTAATATGGTTAATGCCAAACCTGACCTAGGGACAGGAAAAGAGAGAAAGAAGAGATCCCTAAAACAGGAAAAAAGGAAAGGAAAAAAAGAAAGACAACAAAACCATCCATCCACCTGCTGTATCTGTAGAAAGATGTCCTGTAGTCACCGTGGGTAAACCCGAGGGAGAACCCGCTGAAGCACCTGCAAACAAACTGTACGTGGAAACACACACAAACTAACAAAAACAAACAGCAAAAAATACTGCGGCCAAACCCAAGGGAGAACCTGTAGGAGCACCTACAAGCAGACACAAGGTAGAGACACACACAAACAGGCAGCCAAAACCGAAGGCAGCCACAACACTGATAGTAACGACAAACATGATATAGTCCAACGCCAGCAGCAGTACAGGCAGGCCCGGGGACAGTGGACCCAGAACCAGACCCAATCAAAACCCCAAACACTCCAATCGGACACAGATGAAACAAAAAAAAAACATCCCAAAAAAAAAAAATACACGCACCCTTCCAACTGCCACACGTACACACCTCTCACACATCCACACAGATCCGCACAGCTCTTAACCCCACCAGTGGAAAAACCAATCCCAGTTTCTGTCAATTCTGATGAGGTTCTTGTCTGAAGAAGAAGCCTTCGCAGATGACCAAAAAGCCTTGGTGCCTCCTCAAAAAGGAAATGATCTTTTTGAAAAGTAAACCACAAGAGTCCCCTGATTGTGTGATACCAGAATCAGAAAGTGATCATGGAGAAATAGAAGAATCCCAGGTCTCCACCAAATATATCGCTCCTCAGAAACACTCCAACAGCAGATGAGGAAGCCAGGGGTCCCAACCGACACCATGCACAGGGAGAAAACTATCAGACACCAAGAGCTCTGCCCTATCATACCTATGATCATCTCCACATCAACTATCTGAAGCATCGACTTGATATCCTGACATCCAAACTGCACAAAATAATCATTTTCTGACAGGAAAAAGATAGGAGCCTTATAGCAGAGGACTATTGCTACAAGTACCAGCTGGAACTGAAGGAGCTGAAGGAGCTTAAAGACACACTGAAGAACGAGTGTCAGCACAGAAAGAAATGTGAGGAAGAGCTCAACAGGTCCAAAGCAAGCATTTAAGAACTGTGTCAGTCCTCTAGATCGCTTGAAGAAGAGATAGAGAAATTGAAGATAGAACTGATGGAAAAGACTGTCTCCAATGCTGAGCTCTCCTTTAAAGTGACTGGAGGAGGTCATCAAGCTGGTTAAAGTGTTAAGAATTAAACAAATCTGTCAGAATTCAGGGGAACTGGATGAGCAGAAACCAGAAGAAACACAGAAAGAAGCAAAACAACCCCCAGCACCAGAAAAAGTCAGTGAAGTGGAAGTTACGCCATCACCAACATAACAGCAGAGCCAGAACATGAAAAGATTTCAGAGTACCGGATGCCAGAGAGAGAGAGAGAGCTGTAACTGGATAAAGAAGACTCAACTTCACAGAGTACTTGGTCTTCAATGCTCATTGAATTATCAGATGATCAAGAACCATCAGAACCAGAGGAGAGAAGAGTTGAGCCGGTTTCACTATGGAGACGCTTCAAGAAATTCATGATGCTAAAACACCTGCGTCAGTGCAAACACCGACGTGTCTATCCCTCTGTCTGTCCCTGTCTATCCTTTTATCTATACCAGAACCGACATATGGAGAACTGGAACTCTGAACACATCTGAACTAAAAGAGGTCACTCAACAACCAAAATTTCAAAGACCTCCGGTAATCCAAAGAGGAGGACACCTTCTGCATCTTTTCACATTTGACTTCTACACTTACTTAAAGTGCTTTGTTCTTACTCAGTATGATCATAATTGTTTTATTAACTTTTTCTGGGTTCCCTTTCAAATGTTAAGGATGTTGATTTCTGTGTAAATTGACTCAAAGATTTTAGATAATTTAATAAATTCCCATAAAAAACAAACACGAGTGGACGTTTTGAAATTATTAATGATTAATTATTTAGAGTTCTCATTGTTGGAGATGTGATTTGAGAAATCAGGACCATACATGTGGTCTTAGTGATTCAAAAGCCAGGCGACATTGTATTATTGTGCCTCATATGGATTATCAAGTCTAAATAGCTTGTTTGAAAACCCTCATCATAAGAAAACGCCATCACCACTGAATGACTTTAATGAAAGGCTGAGTATTATCGCGAGATTAGGACGCGAGATTTCCAGGTGGAAATTGAACACTGCATTCAGAAGCAGACAAGCTGTAGAGTCACCCTTCTTTCTCTTCGTTTCCGACAAGCTTGTAAATGATAGCAATAGCGTTCATTCGTGTTTCTGACTATTTCGGGACGGAACAAGATTGTTCTTTTTCAATGTATTCCATTTTTTGTTTATCCTACCCTCCTGCTAAGGATCGAGTCTGTAACCTAGCGGTACGCTGATGCAGTTTCAATGAGCTAACCGCTCAGCTTCCTTTTAAAGACAAAAGCAACGTTGTCACTTGGACTTAAGGTACGTTTTATTGTGCAAATAAATATGCTATCTTTCTGCTTTGTACATAATAGTGTCACCGAAACTGTCGAATTAATTTAGCTTAATTGTAAATGGGCTTTGTCGTTGCGGCTGTACCATTGTGTAGCTACCTAGAAAAGAATAAATTGGCTGTTCGCGTTTAATCATAAACATAAATAAAAGATTGAGAACCACAGTTGAAAACGGCTACTATTTACGTAACGTAATGATGTAATTAGCCTGTTCGAAGTTATTAGTCAATTGATTTTATCTAGAGGGAATGGTTAGGAACATATTTTCAATTCAATATAGTTTAAAAGTAATGTACAGATATGGTTTACAACTGACCTATAATTAGCAAGATTATAATAGGAATATAGCTATGTTTTTTCTCAAGGTAAGACTCATCAATAACAAAAAAAAATAAGAATTTTACATTTGTTAACCTTATTTGTTATGGGTGATTTACCTACAGGGTCTTAGAAAATTTAAATTAGTTGATCACTTAACAGCTGTTCAATGCAGATATTTTTGGTATATCTTTTATTTCACTAGGTGAACACTGATGTCTGTTTTACCTGTGTTGAGCACGTTAGGCTGATCTGGTCACACCTTGATTAAATTCTGACTTTTAATTTCTGCTCCTGAAGTATGATATTTATTTTATTTTTTTACTGCATCTTTCTGAATGGAATTATTTTAAATTCTGACCTTATACTTGAGAATGAATTCATATTAATTATTCGCTAATATAGTCATACCTCTGATTTGTGTAGGAGTTTACTTTGAGTTATACTTTATGAATACTGTTTTTTAAATATGTAATTTGTATCACTTTAAAAAGTAAAAGGCAAATGGAATACTTTAATCTAATATTTTCCCTAGTGTATTTGACCACTTAAACTGTTTTACACTTCAAGTCACAATAACACACTCATACAATATGTAATAGCAAATGCAATGCAATTGGCCACGCTTTTTTTCTGTCACATTCATTCATACTCTGGAAATTTGGTTATATTGTCCTGCCCAAAGACATGTGGCATATGAAAAGAAAAGAACATGCTGAAAGTGAGATTTTTGACTGATTTATGAAAAATATTAGCTCATCCAAACTTCGATGGCAAAAACATGTCTCAAAAGATTTAAAATTAGGAAAATAACTAAAAAGAAGAACATTTTACAACTAATCACGTTAATTCCTAAAACATTAGTGATATGATTGGGTATTACAACAGCATGTCAGTCAGGCAGGTCCACTAAAAAGTAAAGATGGTTCCATAAGTTCCATAAGCTACTTTACATTGTATAAATTGTACGGCTGTCAATCGATTAAAAAAATGAATCTAATTAATTACATACTTATCAATGAATCTAAATTAATGGCATATCATTTTTGCTGTGAAAGTATTTTAAATATTTCAATTCAAATGATTCAATTAATAATCAGCATTAGATACATTAAAGCAAAAAAACTCTTTTATTCACATTTCATGCCTTCAGAAGTTTAACGTGTCGTGGCATATGTGGCACACAGAGATGGAAACACCAAACAAGTTTCACCTCCAAGGAGCTCAGTCACATATCTGCAGTGGATGATAAGAGATGCACACACTGCATTAGGCTATATCAGCCATAGTAGTAGCCTAGCCTACTTAGAAAATTTGCAAAATAAAATACTGTAAATTTCTTTACAATAAATTTAAAAAAAAAGAGATATTTTGTGTGTGTGCGTGTGTGTAAGCTTTTACCTGCATGGTTCAAGGATGGTTTTCAGCCTCTGAAGTTTGTCCCACTCAGATGCATAGCTTACTTGTGCTTCTGTCTGCTCAGTGTAGACTTGATAGCCTCCTGGTTCTCAAGGAGACGAGAAATCATGGCGAGTGATGAGTTCCATCTTGTGGTAACATCCTGAATCAAACCTTCGGTCTCTTGCCCAAGTTGAGTTTGCTGCTGGTGGAGCTCCTCTGTATTGGCAGGGCTATGTTTAAAATGTCCCACTGTCTTACGACACTTTGCTAACGTGTCACTGTCTCTGGGGCAAAAAGAGACGGTTCTCTGTGACATATGAGCAACACAAGGCATGTGCTCATATGCCGCAGCGATCATGTTTCGGGCGCTGTCTGTGCCAACCGTGGTGATCTTTGGTTGAACTCCCCATGCCTCCGCCACAGACAAAAACTGCCTGGCGCAAGCATCGGCGTAATGCCCGGTCTCCGCTTTTAACATTGCTAATGCAAATGACTGGAGTTTCCATTCACAGTCAATGATGTGTGCCGTAACACCGAGGTAATTGTGGTTGCTAACTGAAGTCCAGGGATCCCCTGCCAGCGCGATATGTTCTGCTCCCACTAGTACGTCTCCTTTTGGGTTTTTTTTCAGTGTCGTACAGCTGCTGGATTTTTGACATAATGGTGGTTTGTGATGGCGGGTTATATGTCATGTCTGAAGAGGCTATTTGCAAAACCTCTGCTAACCCCCTGTCTTCTATAAATGAAACTGGTCTGCAAGACATTGCGATCCACTTAGCAAGGGAATTGCTCAGTCGGTCACATGCAGATTTGCTTAGTTTACGTTTCAGTGTTTGCTCCAGTGTGGTTTGATGATGAGGTTGACTGCTAGAGCTTGTGTCACAGGACGTGCTAGGTCGTGGTCCTTCCTCCAGGTTAACTCCTGGATGCTTTGCACTGATGTGGTACTTAAGAGTTGACGCAAATTCCTTTCTGCCGACATTGAAGATGACTTAACTTTTATCAACCCTTCCGTCAGGCCGTTTTTTATAACTAAATGATGAAATCAATGACCCAGGCAGCGCGTTCTCGTCTCCCTCTTTTATTTTAGTCTAATCAAAGATTCAACCATCTTTGGTCTAATGGTGACTGACCAGAACGGTTCCGGGTCAAAGGTCAATACGACATTGATTAATATGCTTTATATTTTTAAATCTATTATTTTTTCTAAAATTAATGAATCGAAATTAACGCGTTATTTTGACAGCCCTAATAAATTGTAATATAATTTGAAGAGGCTGCATTTGTGAAAAAACAGTGTGAATGCTGATGACCTGAATTGATGCCCTTAAAGCAGCTGAAAAAGCTTTTATTGAAAATCACTGAAATCCAGATGCTAGTCTTTTTTCTGAGTTATTGTAAAAGACTAAAAGTGTTATTTTACTCTTAACTGAACAAAAACTTAAATTGCAGCTCAAAATGATACAAGCACAAATGGAGAGCAATCTTGAAGAAACATCAAAATTACAGAAACACACCTTGGATCTGGAATGGGACTGGTACAAGCAGATATGAGAGTGACACAGTTTAGATGGATTTACACTGGATCAGACAAACATTACAGCCTCCTGTTTCAAAGACAACCTAAAAGATTTAACTTTGTGCTCATCAGTTTGTCTGTTTCAGTGGGTTTTTGTCAGTCACAGTGGGTTGCTGTCTTTTTCTACAAATTTTGGCCTTTATATTTGGGTTAATGAAACTTAAGAGATGTATCCATCTCTGTGTCAGAGCAGTGGAGCATTATAACTAGCTGATTTTCCTTAAATATATGTAAAATCGTTGTGTAATCTGTCTATGTGTTTTGCATGCTGCAGAAAGATATATATGGTATCTGAGTTGTAAATGAAACAAGAATATTTTGGATTTATAAATATTATTTGTACTTGTTTAGTGTCACCTAGAACATCTGCCTGTCTTTCTGCCTTACTTCAGAGCTTCAACTTGTCTGAATTTACAAGTGGAAACAACTGTAATATTTGTCTTCTGGTTGTAGTCTATATATTTACTATCTATACATATATGTATACGTATATAACAACCCCTATCAGTTAAAGAGCCACTCTGACCCCTTTTCAACACAAACAAAATAGCAGGGAGCTGCACATTGTTTTTTACCTCTAGAACGAAGATAATGTATATGTTCTTTAGCTTTATGCTCTGTATAAATTACCTACATTTACATTAGTTTAGATGACAAAAATGAAAAGAATAAAGAAGTGTTTAGCTCCAACTTTGATGTCCCCCTGATTTACCTCTGGGAAAGTAAGCTTGTTTAAATGCTACAATATTAATTCTTGTAATTAATCCTGGATCTAATATTGATTGGAAGAAAGTAGTGATTTCAAGTACTTTAAAGGATTGTGAATACCTAACATTTAAAGAAAAAAAATGAAAATATATGAAGGAGAAATTATTATTAAAGCGGGAAATGATTAAGTGCTGCATGCACTGGTTACAATAAATGTTGAAATTAATTTAATTGTCCAATAAAAGGTTTGCACATTTGCAAATTTAAATCTATTTTTACTCTTGAGTCATCAAAAAGTGACTCCAAATGCATAAAACAGAAATGGCAAAATACTCAAAGACTAACCCTTTCCTCTCGAGTCTCAGACTAGCAATTTGATCGTTTAAATACATTTGCAGGTTTAAACTTTCACTTGAGATTAATTTCTTCAGAATAAATGTTTATGGCTGCATGTGGTTCTTGGCTCTGTGGGCCACCATGTCTGTAAGAGAAGTGGGATAGTTGGTTATTATATTATTTCTGCATGCCCCAAGGTCAGCCCTATTTGGCAACTTTTATTGCCCTGCAATGAAGAAAGTTTATTCAGCCAGCTTAGCAAATACTGTTGTACATTACTTACAGAATATGGATAAACATGTTATTAATTATCTTGAGTTTGGCATGTCAGCAGCAGGAGATTGCAGTCATTAAACACCAGTACTCTTAAAAGCCAAGTTACTTTTACCTTCTTCTCCCTCAACATTTGAGACCCAAACCTTCATGGACGAGTCTTTTATTTTTTTGGACCAACGACTTCATCATTTTCCAACAAAAATACTGATATTAAGGCACAACTCCTTTGATCCCTCTTTATTGGCCTCAACCAGGTCTGTTTTTTTTATGTTCTTACAAAACATCTCGCTCTGGCACTTTTAAAGAAAACACTATGTAAATAGTTGAATATTTTATTCTTTTATAATTTGGAGAAAATCTAGGATATTTTTCTTCAACTTTGTATGTAATAAAGATACATGGAACACAAAAGAAGAACATGTACATATGAAGCAATGTAGTCACTGCCCAGCTCGTGGCCTGGTGTAATTTTTTTACTGTTGATATTTTATTAATTAGTATTTAATTCTATAATGTATTCCTGCATTTAATTCAGAAGATAGGTCAACAGGTTAGTGTGGTGGTATGGCACCATGCGGTCAACATTTTTCCCATCATCCTCGTGTGTGCGTGGTTTCTTATTCTTACCAAGTACTGTTTTCCTCCAGCAGTCAAAAAGTATTTGTGTTGGTGACTAAATACAGTGTGTGGACCCTGCTCAGTGTCATCTGGGATAGACTTATTTATCTTTTGCCATGTACCTATGTAGCTTTTACATTAGCAAACTTATAAAATTATAACAACTACTGCCCTCTGCACCAATTCTTTCAAATGTTCTTAATTTTGAGTCGCTCAGATCGGGGGAAATCAAACAAAATTCCCCCTGGCCCATATTAACATTTTAACAGAAATGCAATAAATGTTGACAAATAACTTTTCACTGTTTTGTATATTATTATTTTACATTGTTTCCAAATGTATGTGGATATGTTAATTATGGGAACAATAATTGAGCTGTGGTTGTTAGGATAGTTGTGGAAATGGTGTGGTCCATCATAAAAATGACTTTTCTGGCTCACTGCCATATTATTGTGGATATTTCTGTGAGATGCTAGCACAGGAACAAGGGTGAACCCGAACTATGGGAGCAGTAGTTGTAGATGTGGTTAAGGCTTACCTTTCCTTTAGATGAAAATGAAAAAAAACTGAAACGTCAGTTCAACTCCTAGAAATATGTGTCACTACTGTGGTAGAAGGTGGAAGGTTTGGCCACAACCTAATTTTTTTACAAAGGTAGACAGTGACTAATTCCCAAATGTAAGAGCTGAAACCTCTTGAATAAATTTCGTCCCACTTCATGATTATGTCCCACCTGTTGATTCGTCACAAAAAATAACAATTTTATAGTTATATTTTATATCTTTATGTTTGAAGTCAAAATGTGCCAAAAGGTTAAAAGGTTCAAGGGGCCGAATACTTGCGCAAAGCACTGACATCACTGCTTGATATTGTTTCCATAGATATTAATGTAGAATTTAAAGGGAAGATAATACTTTGTTTTTATCAGTTAAACGGCTTGAACTGATAATTAATGTTGTTTGAAAATTTAATTGGCCTTATAATAAGTTGCTTTAACCTTTCCTCCCTCTTCCATACTTTCTTTTTCTACCCTTTTCAGGTTGTTGCCTTGCAGCAACTGCATCATCACGGGGAGGGTCCTCACCTCAACGGAACCCACGATGCGGATTTCAGTGGCAGGTTGCAGAATGAGTCTGGGTGCTCTCCTTAATGGGCTGCTGGTCTCCATAATTGCAGCTCTGCTTTGGAAACACTCTAAACTGAGTGAGCATGCCACCATGTTGGAGGAGGAGCTGCATATGACGCAACAGTCTCAGGAGATCTCCCAGGCCCAGATCGACTACCATCTGGTCTTGCAGGCTCTTCAGGAACATGGCACACGCATGGTCTGCACTGGCAAGATGCATACAGATCGCATTTGCCGTTTTGACAACCTCTGTTACAGCTCAGAGGCAGAGGACTTTGTGTTCTTCCACTCCAATTCGTCTGTCATGCTGCCTAATCTTGGGTCCAGACGTTTCCAGCCTGCTTTGTTAGATCTTTCTTCAGTTGAGGATCACAATACACAATACTTTAACTTTTTAGAGCTTCCTGCTGCTGCTTTGAAGTTTATGCCAAAGCCTGTGTTTGTACCAGATGTAACGTTAATCTTTAACAGATTTAACCCTGATAACCTAATGCATGTATTTCATGATGACCTACTCCCAGCTTTCTACACCATGAAACAATATTTAGACTTGGATGATGAGGCTCGTCTTGTGTTCATGGAAGGCTGGGGTGAAGGTCCCCACTTTGATCTCTACCAATTTCTCAGCACCAAGCAGCCATTACTTAAAGATCAGTTAAAGAACTTTGGAAAATTAATGTGTTTTACTAAATCTTATATTGGCTTGACCAAAATGACGACCTGGTATCAGTATGGGTTTGTTCAACCACAAGGTCCCAAAGCCAACATTTTGGTTTCAGGGAATGAAATCAGACAGTTTGCTAAGGCTTTCATGGAAAAAATGAACATCACAAGGGTGGAGAAGGCAGACAAAAATGGTGGAAATCTTGAATATGACAAGGAGAGTGAGAGAATGGATGAATACATTGTTTTGTTCAGTCGTTCAACAACAAGGTTAATACTAAATGAAGCAGAGCTCATCATGGCACTGGCTCAAGAGTTCCAGATGAGAGTGGTTACTGTGTCCCTGGAGGAACAGTCTTTTCCCAGTCTTATCCAGGTGATCAGTGGAGCTTCCATGTTAATAAGCATGCATGGAGCACAGCTTGTCAGCTCACTGTTTCTCCCTAGAGGTGCTGTTGTTGTAGAGCTATTCCCCTTTGCTGTCAACCCAGAGCAGTACACCCCTTATAAAACCCTAACATCCCTTCCAGGTATGGATCTTCACTATATCTCCTGGAGGAACACTAAGGAAGAAAATACCGTCATTCACCCAGACAGATCCTGGGAACAAGGGGGTATAGTTCACTTGGAGAAAGAGGAACAGGAGCGGATCCTGGCTAGTAAGGATGTACCCAGGCATCTCTGCTGCCGTAACCCAGAGTGGCTCTTCCGGATCTATCAGGATACTTTAGTCGACATCCAATCCTTTTTAGAGGTACTCAAGGAAGGCATAAACAGCAAATCCAACTTGAAGAAGGGAAAGGCTGCCAGCACAGTCCATCCTGGTAGGGTCAGGGAAGCTCAGTGTCAGACTTACATACAAAATTCTAATGAGGCTAAACTCACTGTCTCTTGGCAAATTCCATGGAATCTAAAATACCTTAAGGTTAGAGAAGTGAAATATGAGGTGTGGATTCAGGAACAGGGTGAGAACACCTATATGCCTTATATCCTTCCCCAGCAAAACTATACTTTCTCAGAAAACATAAAGCCCTTCACTACTTACCTTGTGTGGGTGAGGTGTATATTTAATAAGAACCTCTTGGGCCCTTTTGCTGATGTTCTTATGTGCAAGACCTAGTGCATTCAAATGAATATGCAGATATTTCTGTGCAGTAATTAAGTTAAAATGTACGACTACTTGTACAACCGTTTGGCCAACAGCAATTAGTCAGTTTCATTGAGCCTTTTTCTGTAGTTTCAGATTAGACTGTTAAACTCATATATTGTATTGTCTCCATACCCAACAACGATGACTGGATTACTTGCAAGACAAAGAAAGAAATCCAAGGATCAATGGAGAATGTTTGTACTAAAAAATGAGGGAAAATGCTGTACCAGTGTTCACTGATGGAATTTTAAAAATGATTTATTTGTATGAAATAAAGTGTATTTTATTTTTAGGATCAGTCTGAAGACTGGTTCTTTTCAAAGTGATTAACCATTTTGTAGTGACCAAGAGAGATTTTACAACAAGAACATATTTTTATGTTCCTAAACCTGTCCAAAGCTTGTTGTTTCCTCCTCCAATTGTTGGAAGTAGACAATTAAAAAAAATTCATTTAAAAAAGGTGTCATGTAAATAAATGGGTTGTACTTAAATAGTGCTTTTCAAGTCTAGCTAACTACTCAACTAAAAGTGTAATTACACTGCAGCCAAGTGCTTCCATTCAGCAAAACTTAATCTAAATACAGGCGACGAAATGCTTCTACACTACGCATCTTCAGGCAACATGGGACACACTGTCTTGACCAAAGCTACTTTGACACTTAGCCCAGGGAATATCAAAGTCAAACCACTGACATTCAAATTCATAGGACACAACTCTTACTCCTGAACAATTCAATTACATTTTATTTATATAGCGCCACATCACAACAACAGTTGTCTCACAGCGCTTTACAAACAGAGCAGGTCAGACCCTACTCTGAAGTTAATTACAGAAACCCAACAATTCCCACCATGAGCAAGCACTAGGCGACACAGGCAAGGAAAAACTTCCTTCAACAGTTGTATTGTTATACTTGTGCCAATTTCTTAAGCAAGTGGGAGAGTGCACACATGTACTTTGCAAGCCAATGAACAGGATTTTTAAAATATACCTAGAATAAGTTGAGGAATCAAAAATAAATACATAAAATACATTTTTCTTTGCCCCTTTCAGTTAAGACAATATCAGTTTCTCTAAATTGTATTAATATACTCACAACTCACACTCTTATTTAATGTCTGCTGCTGTGAATTCTTAGAAACATTACACAGCAAATTCTCTCTTTTTGTAAACAACTTAACTGGGACCGAGACATTTATATTATGTTAGATATATCAGTAAGATGTTGTAACTTACCAGTACAGAAAAATACAAAAACAAACAACAAAGCTACAGAGTGATAACGGTTAGATCTTTTGCATGTTTTTCACTTTCAATAATACATAAGTCTTTTTCAGCTTTGCAATTGGAAACTGTGACGAAAGCTTTCAATCTTTATTATAAATGTGATATATTTGGTTTTCTAGTTATGCATTTGTAGATGTGGAACTCTACAAGAAACAGGTAAATAAAAAAAGAATTTGTTTTTTTAATTATATTCACCAATTCTAAAAAATATATAATTTCACAACAACTGGTAATTATATAATACAAGGTTATTTTTATAAGCATTAAAACACTGCCAACATATTTTGTTGCATAAGCAAAGTCGGTAAAAGTGGACCACAATTTCAGGAGAACTGTTTGAAAAAGAACAGTCAATTTAAATGTCTGATTTCAGTCTCATGATGAAATTTCAGGAAACGTAGAACCTGAGAAGGAGCATGAAGGAGAATTCCTCTACTATGTTTGTTAGTCTAAATTATAACAGCATTTCTCGGGTAAAAAGGGCACAAACCTTTTTGTTTTTTTGCTCTGGTGAAAGTGATCACAGGAGGTTGAAGATGGTACACATTTGACCTTTGTTGAAACAGTATAGTGATATCAAAAGAAATGGTACAAAAAACCACAGCGATAGAAACGTAAAACCACAGAAACGTAATTGTTCCGCATAATATACCCGTCCAGGGACAAAAGATGCTTGTAAACAAAATTACCTGGCAATGAAAGACTGACTTTTTTTCTCAGTGTTGAAACTGCAGACAAAAAAATCCAACCTGCAATTTTGGAAAGAATATGGATTCCTTATTGAGGTTGTTAATTTAAAGAATTGTTTAATCCAGTTTATCTTTAAAGTATTATTGAAAGTGGAGAAAGTGCAAAAGATCAAACCACAATTTTTCAAAGGTATTCACAATAGTACATACATTTTTTATATGATGTGCCTTTTTCCCCAGAAAAAGTTAAAAAGTTCCTGATCAACTTTCTCATATATCTTAGCATCTAAGGCTAAGGCAATAAATGCAACAATGAATTTGCTTAAGTTAAATTCGTATGTGACCTTTAGTGACAGACCCCTTCCAAAGAAATGTTGGACTGTATTTGTGATTTTTCAATAATTGGTTTTAAAATTTAAAGAGTTTCTTTAATGTTAATATTTAGTCACCGTTTGTCATTTAATTAATTTTTTGCAGGAATGTTATAATCAGATGCTACAGATCAATCTTTATTGGCCAGATTTCACATTTATCTTAACATAGAGCCCTGCTGCTTTGCACAAACATTTTTTATTTTAGTCCAATTAGATTGATAAATAAATAAAAAAGTGTCATTCGGCAGAAATGAGTTTTTACGTAACAAACCGTAAGCTGAGCAACAAAAGTTTTTGGAGAGATAGAGCATCCCTGAGTGGTACCTCTACACATTTTAATTCTAGTTGTCGTACCCTTATGAGTTTAATGAAGCTCTTACTGTTTTTACACAGGATTTTGATAACTGAGGTTCTCAAAACCAAACTTATCCAAAGTTTGAAAAATAAGACTATGTTCTACAGTGTCAAGTACAATACAATTAATCAATTTTCTTTAATGAATTCAGGATAGCCAAATCATCTAAGACCGGTCTAATGGTATTAGCTATTTTAGTCTATTTTTCATGAAGATTGTTTGTATTCATCAATAAGTGAGTGCAAAGTGCTTTTGGGCAACTTGGCAAGAATATAGACTGGAAGTTATTTTCAATACTATGATTGAGGAGTAAGCAAATGGGCCACCTGTTGTAAATAAATAGATGGAAATTAAAGAAATTCTACCATATCGTGGGAAGGGCTACCTCCTAATTTTTGTGAAGTCTCAACATACTGGCTCAACTTGGAAAGGTATTACATTTGTGCCTATCACTGCTGCTCAAACCATAGCAAATACTGTAATTCCCCATATATTACACACATGCTACAATAATATGCACACCCAAATTTACCTCTTTTTCCCCATGTCCATATTCAAAGAACAAAAGTTCCACTATGAAACTCATAGTGCAACAACAACAAATGTTGTAGTGGCCAAAAAATGTTCACTGCATTTCATACTTATAGTTTATTCATGTAATTTATGGTATTTATTATACTGAATAGCCAAACTACATGTAAAAAAGATTGATATAGAATAGCCAGTGGTACTACATTAGGTAAGAAAATAACACTGAAGAAGCGTTAACTAGCAGTTGATAACAGTAGTCCTCCTCTTTCAGCCCAAATTCCACAGGGCATAGCAGTTTAAATGGAGTGTCACACATTAATCATCTCCTAAACTCTAAGCAACTGCACAGGTATCCCCAGGTATCAATAAATTGCTTCAGTTTGGTTTAATACGGGGAAGACTGCAAACATGACAACTGGCCATAAAACCATAATTAACACCCTTCATAGGATGGGTAAGCCACAAAATTCATAGATAAGGAGGCTGGCTGATCACAGTGCTGTATTCAAGCATATCCATGGAAAATCTAGTGTAAGGGCAAAATGTGGCATGAGAAGATACACCAGCAAAAGAGATGACTGACGGCTTTAGCATATTATCAAACAGCGAAGATTCCAGAATTTGGCAGGAGAGCAGCTACAACTGTCAGGTTCCTCCTGTCAAGCCACTTCTGAACGTGTGCCTACGTTGTCATGACCGAGTAACTGACTCTGGTGCGGGCAAAGATTACTATCCAGACTTGAGTGAAGACAAAAGTTTTCATTTTCACTCTGAGCGAGAGATGATCGGTGTGGAGACTGGCAAGCAATGGGAGGAATCCGGAAGATCCTGAGCCAGAAGGTGAAGAAAGGTGGACGGGCAGGCAAATAATCCAGGGAGGGAACCAAAAAGAGGACTTAGAAGTAACGCTGAGGGTGAAGGAAGACAAAAATGTTTAGTTTTCACTTGGACAAAGATATTCCAGGGAGCTGTGGTGTCAAATGGTAAGTTACCAACTGCATTGGAATTAACCAACTGGGGTCAGCCTCAGGGAACACGTTCCTCTAAATACTGCTTCCTGATTGCAGTCATTAGTTACAGCTGGATCTGCCCTGCCCGAACACACCCTGGGAAGGAGAAAGGTAAGGAGGCCACCCAGTGGCCCCAACATATATAGGAAGCATCTCAACTGAGCCAAGGAGAAGAAGGACTGGACTGTTGGCCAGTGGTCCAAAGTCCTCTTTTCCGAAGAAAGCAAAGTGTGTCTTTCATTAGGGAATCAATGTTGAAGGGTCTGGAGGAAGACGGTTGAGGAACAGAACCCAAGCTGCTTGAAGTCCAGTGTGAAATATCCAGTCAGTCATGATTTGGGGTACAATGTGCACCCACAGCCTTATTCCCAGTTCATCCTGGACGTTGATGCCTCAGACATTGGTGTTGGGTTAGTTTTCTCTCAAAGATCACCAGAAGACAATGAGCTCCATCTTGGTGCCTTTATTTCCCAATGCTTTATTTCCCATTGGAGGTATGATCATTTTAGAGGTATATAGCCCCTTGCTATTAAAATGTCACTAGAAGAATGGCAAACATTGGTAGAGATACCTTATTGTCTGGACAGACCATAAAAACCTGTCTCATCTTAAAAAACGAAAAGACTCAACCTCAGACG